TAGCCAAGACCTGTATTCATTGTTGGTCAATATAGTGGTCTTTTAAAAAGTTCATGCACATACTTGATATTCCATAGTCCCTTTTCCTCAGTTGTTTTCTGATCAAATGGAAAGCCTTTCTTCTCTTTTACATGATAAGAGACATTGTGAAAACTCAACACAGGCCCTTTCTTATCACTGGAAGTTGTCTCAGGGAGGTCATCAGAGTTTCTTTGGGACATGGAAATTGAACACAGGTCATTACTGGATGACATCTGGATAGTTCTGTCTTTCTGTAGAGGGAAAAGCATTTGTGAGTTGATAGTCCATGTAAATCAAATTTTAAACACTATATAACAACATATGAACACATTTAAATGAGGCTCCTTTAAATTGTGCTGCAGTGAGTAGGTTCCTTTCTAAAGAAGACCCCACATCACTGTGATAAAAAAGAACCTTAGAACGTATAATGGGAGGCAGATCCAAACTAGAATACCTGCACTCCAATTAGATGTCACTTTCCCGAATTAAGTTGTCCTAATAATTAAACAGTATTAAAATTATTCAAAACCCAGGAAGGCAGAAAAATGCAAATAATTATTAGTTTTGTCTGGCTTGAAAATCATAATATGATACAACTTCAATTCAGGAAGAGCCTAGAGGAGCATCATTCAGTGGTTGTATTTGTTTAATGTTAGTGTTTATAATATTTTTACTACCAAAAGGAACTTATTCTAGCATTCTGGGAAGGGAGAGATTTCTCTGAATTTATAGTTGTACAACTTTGGTTGTTGTGCACCTTCAATCAGCAAAGTAGGTAAACGCCAACATTCTTTTGCAATGACATTATTATTTCCTTCATGCACAAACATATGAAAATTATGAACTAAATCAAACCAATAGTTAAACAGTTCAAAGCTTTACAGCAAAAGTGAATATTAAGTTAAAAATATTTCATTACAGAAATTACAAAAGTTCCCTTAAAGTATTTAATAAGAATTCGACCTGTGGCTGAACTAAGCTTGTTAAATTGGTTTTAAGTGCTAACTGCAATAATCCTAGGTCTCATTTTTAAAGGCCAAAGACATTCATGAAGAACTTTATCTTTGCCTATGGTGGACTAGCTGCTCCAAACTAATCATCCTCCCGAGAACAACCATAGAAGCAGAGAGAACAAGAGAAGGAGTGTGTGAAGAGTTCTCTGATGAGAGCAAGAAAGCCAATGGAACTGGAGGAACCAAAATTGTGTGGGCTCTCTCTCATCCAGCGAGTAGGTCCACAGAACAGGGTAGAGGAGAGTGTGACTGCAGAATTGCTAATCAAGACCTCTGGAGACCAAGCAGGAAACAGATCTTATTTTATTGCACAGTTACCATGTAT